ACAATCTGATGTCAATCTGAGCCGTGTCCTTCACACTTTTTGCCTGGTTCTTTCCCATTTCATTGATTGCATTTTATAATTAACATAGATAAAACAGAAGAGGGAGAGCCTGCCAAAGCAGCTGAGCCCTTACTATCAAAGGACTGACAGACACCTGCACTCCTCCATTTTCCACCAGAGATTTTGCCATGCCAAAGGACACAGGGATCAACATGTGTTCTGGTCATCCCAACTCTGATGCTGATGGCACAGTTTGAATTTGGGTCAGAATCTCTCTCTACCTCTTCATCTCTGTGTGTAGAGCACAATGCAGCAAAACAATAACATCTGCCTATAATTTTACAGCTAGTCAGGGAGAAAACATGGATGGGGTAGAGACCATCTTGTTCCCAATCCTAACCTCAATTTATCAAGGCCAGTCTTGCAACCTGCCAAAAGGAACCGCCTCAGGCAAAAGGCCCTTCAGGATCAGAATTAGCTTTTCCCTTCTAGTTCTTCTCAGTGTAATGAAAGATGTCTCTTACCTGTTTCATGGCGTAATGCCTTTCTGCTTTAATGATCATATCTACAATGAGGGCATGATTGCTCCTTGATGCCACAGCTAGTGCAGTTTTTCCATGCTGAAAGCAGAGATAGTGTATCAGAACATTATCTCATATACATGAGGGTAACTATACCACAGAAGAAACACAGGAGCATCATTTACAGAGCCCCATCTTTTTTTTCAAGAAGACATTACTACAATTTTATGGCTTCAGGGTAGCTACAATCAAAGTTCTTCTATCCTTTGCATGATTTGTATCCCCTCAGCCCAGAGGTGGTCAATTCTCCCTGCACTGAACTAAAGAATTTCTGGTGAGGTACAACTGCCTTCAGAAACCTCTTGCACTCAGACTGCTGCATACATCGTACCATCTTGTGCTTTCATTCCCCTGTTATGCTTAAATTGGCATTTCAGATGGATAGGCTGGCAAAGTTGGAAACCTCCAATTTTAAGGGCAAACCTGTGTCTTGTTTTGGATGGTAAGTGAAGCTGGCTCAGAATGAAAACAGGGTGTGGGAATGACTTTCTCATGACAACTGAAGTGACCGCAACTGAAGGTGATGTTTTGTGTGTAGTACAGGCAGGCAAAGGAATTAAAAGCCATTGCTTTAATTCCAGCTGCAGAGGACTGCTCAGTCTATCTGCACCCATCTCCACTATCAGCACTTTGATCTGAAGGCATTTCAGTGGCTCTACAGGGTTCTCTCTGCAATTATCTATTTTCAGCAGATATGCACTAAGTTGAACTGCCTCACATTTAAATACTCGGAGTATTCTCCACACAAAAAGTGCTAAGCATTCTAGAAAATTAGACCTAAAAGAAGCTAACCCATTAATTAGAAGGTTCAGTAATTAAATTATAATGCATTTCAAATCTCCAGCTATTATAAAGTTCCCTAATGTATACTTTTTGAGTTCTAGCTCCTGGCTCTGCTCAAGATCATTATAATTAGCTTGTTTTTAGAAAAGCATTGCATTTGAAACCAAGGAATTTACATTTCATAAAATCTTTACAGCATAAACATAATTTATATGCAAAGAGTCCAGACACCACAAGAGCTCCTTGGATCCCACCTCTGGAAGGGTGCTCTGCATTTCTCAGGAAGATGGCGGGGGGAAGCAGAAAAAGGGGGTGTTTCTGGGCTGTACTAGCGCAGACACTGCTGGCACCCTGCATGCATGCACACCATGGCAGTCTTGAACACAGGGAGCACTCTGCACTATCGATCACAACCAACCACAATTATATCTGCAGGTGGGAGGACGGAATAGGTCCCAAGAGAGCATCTCATGAACTGTTAATAGCTTGCAACTCATTGCAGATACACAACAAGCTCTGGAAACTGAGGGCATTTGCTGCCGGGGGATGGAGGCCAGGGAAACACTGTGCAGTCAAAGCAGGCTCCCCTCTTTCCTGCCTACTTTTCAGTAAGGAAGGATGGAAACATTTTTGGCATCTGGGCACCAATCCAGGTCAAAGAAGGCTGTACTTGCAAATGTACATGGCATGGCCTCAGGGATCATCCAGTAAATAGATAAGGAAAAAGTTACTCCAAGAAATAAAACTAATGCAGAAAGGTGACAGAACTTGTGCTAGCTCAGAGCCATATTGTCATGACATGCCCTGAGTTCTGTCAACACTGCTGTAACACCAGGGCACTATCCAGCCCAAAGGCTTGCAGGTTCTTAAGATCAAAACAGGCAATAAGAAGTAATTTTCTGTGTTTGCCCTTAGAATACAAATAGGTAGAGACAGTTCTGCAACAGCTAAGACACTGTCTGAAGTGGAGAAGACTTCATTCTGGGCTAACCCATATGAGAACTTGCAGCTCACTGTCTAGTGTAGGCATGACTCCAAATGGGAAGGTTTAACTGCAGTGGAGCATCTTACCTCAGCCTCCCAAAACACACCAACTGTGTCACCCACACTCAGTTCCATAAAGCTTTACTCTTCATCAGGAGAGTTTTATGCATGAAAATTACTTTTCTAAATAACTAGAGAGCTAGATTTTGCTCATGACAGATATCAAGTCTGTCAATTCAGTCATACAGAAAATTAGTTTAGTGGTAACAGTATAAAAAGGGCAGGCTCAATCTTGCAGTGATTTTGTAAAATTTGTAAAACCTGCATTTGGTACTCTACCCTTTCAAAAGCACTTCCCCGGAGACTCTTTGCTTTGTTACTTCTTCCAGCCATTGCCATTTTTGCCTGTCTTTCCAGACTGAACATCAGTAACAGGGGTCTAAGCACCCATCTGAAGAGATTTGGGGCAGCTTCCCAGGGACATGGAACCACCATTTCCAGATGGCCCAGAGTGTTAGAGGGCAAACTCACCATTGCTGCAATTAGTGAAGCTGACAGTACCTGTGCCTCCTGGCAATGAACCTGTCTGCAGATGCACAGCTACAACAGCCCCAGGCTGTTTTCCACTCCATAAGCCTGTCCTTTTTTCCATCAGAGGTGTCTGGCAGTGGGGTTTACCCTTCAAAATTACAGAGTTTGTTTCACATTTTTCACCCCACTGGCTTTCATCACATCTGAACTCAAAACCAGCTCTTCACTGAAACCATTTCAGACCTCTGCAGGCTGCAGGTACATCAATATTAAATGGAGACTTCCTTTGCAACAGCTAATAGCTTTACTTACGAAAGATGACTGGAAACAAGTGCTTACTGCATCTCTGGGAAGAAGGTTATAAAACAAAAAATGAAATCACATAATCCTTGCATGGGTGAGGAATGCAATCTACCTTATCCACGGTCTTGAGATCGCAGCCTGCCTTCAGCAGCACTTCCACCAGCTCCACATTGCCAAGATCAGCTGCCAGATGTAGAGGGGTTTCCTGCCTCTGGAATTAATGACACCAAATAAAAACAGTAAGCCAAACTGCCCCTTAAAAGCAGAGTGCTCACAATCTGAATCTAAAGAGGATTCACAAGAGACGGCCTTGGCTAGAAAACACTGAACAGAATGAAAGCATTTAACTTTTGAGAGATCTACCTGCCAGTGTTGTTTCAGGTGAACAAGAGAGCATGTGGGATCTCTGCAGGAAAACCAGACAGGAGTTCCAGCTGGCTCAGGAAAAAGTTGCTTCATGCCCCTCTAATGTACCTAATGAGGTCTCCCTCTTCTCTCTTAAAACAGTGTTTCAGACAGTGCTTCTTGTGACTGCCAACCCCCACCCATACTACCCTCTTAAGTTACCTCTTACCCGCTGAAATTCATGCAATGACAACTAGACATCCACTATTTTCAACACTACATTGTGCCACAACCCATAACAGGATTTGTTAGCCAGCCCTGCCACAAAACGATGATATGGAGTGGAAGGTAGAATAGAAGTCTGCCTGCTCCATAATGAGTTCAGTGAGCCTTAAACCACACACAAACAAACAAAGGACCAGGGGGAAAAAAAAAAGGGCATTAAATAAAACAAAACCATTAACAAGAAGTACAGCTAAAGGGCATTCAGCTTCAAGTCTAATCTTTGGGTCTGAAATGAGAGTTGTGTAGTCTCTACACAGCTGCATGTACCCAAATAAAACCTATTTATTTATCCTACTACAGAATACTAGAATAAGAAATTTGAGAAGTCTGTGGGTGTAATACAGCAGCAAATAAGATACACTGTGATTTGTGGAAACCCTGCATATCTGCATGTGTCCCTTAGTGTGTTTTATGTGACCCAGCATCCTTTTAAGTTAAGTTGAAGATTTTGTGGTGCAGCTGACATACCTGAGGGACAGGATGCCATCCACAGGGACCTGGACAAGCTCAAGGAATGGGCCTGTGTGAACCTCATGAGGTTCAACAAGGCCAAGTGCAGGGTCCTGCCCCAAGTGGTCAGGGCAACCCCCAGTATTGATACAGGCTGGGGGATGAAGGAATCAAGAGCAGCCCTGTCAAGAAGAACTTGGGAGTTCTGGTGGATGAAAAGCTGGACATGAGGCGGCAATGTGTGCTCGCAGCCTTCATCCAAAGCAGCGTGGCCAGCAGGTCGAGGGAGGTGATTCTGACCCTGTTCCCCTCTGGTTAGACCCCACCTGGAGTCCTGCATCCAGCTCTGGAGGCCTCAGCACAGGAAAGACCTGGATCTGTTGGAGTGGGTCTAGAGGAGGGCCACCAAAAGGATCAGAGGACTGGAACACCTTTCCTATGAGGACAGGCTGAGAGAGTTGGGGTTGTTCAGCTTGGGGAAGAGAAGGCTCCTGGGAGACCTTACGGCAGCCTTTCAGGACTTAAAGATGGTACAGAAAGAAAGATGGGGACAGACTTTTTAGCAGGCCCTGTAGCGATAGGACAAGGGGTAATGGTTTTAAACTAAAAGAGGTAGATTTAGACCAGATACAAGGAAGGACTTTTTCACAATGAGGATGGTGAAGCACTGGCACAGGTTGCCCAGAGAGGTGGTAGATGCCTCGTCCCTGGAACCCTTCAAGGTGAGGTTGGATGGGACTGTGAGCAACGTGGTCTAATTGAAGATGTCTCTGCTCATTTCAGGGTGGTTGGACTAGATCACCTTTTAAGGTCTTTTCCAACCCAAACTATTCTGTGATTCTATGATTCTATAATTGCTGATTTTCTCTGTGAGATGGTTCTCTGAGTATTCAGATAGCAGCAGCATAGGGCCCAAAAATATCAGATTACGCTCAAGGCCAGTGCTTTTATCATGGCCTCCCAGGCAAAGCAAAAGAAAGTGATACACATCACAGCAAAAGCTAAAATTGTCATTAACAATTATAGGAGGTTTGTAGAGCAAAAAAGGGATCAAGCAAATCAACACCAAAGTAAATACATCAGTATCACATTCAGCAAAAAGTGGCCTTCCATAGACGAGGGGATCCAGTACCTGAGGGGATAAGCAGTGGTGAAGGTGGTCTACAGCGAACTGGCCAACAACCAGCCAGGCCTCCAAAGACCACCAGCACCAACTAGAGGCCAAGCAAACCTGGTAAAGGTGGAGAAAACAGACACTGGCATCCCTGTGTGGGCTTGAACCATCAACTTCTCAGTTAACACCAAATGCACTAACCAATTGTGCCACAGAGACCTGTGACCTCATCACTCACTGTGATAGTTATATGGTATGGAGCACCACTTCAGCCAGCTCTGGTCACCTGTTTAGTTGTGTTCCTTCCCAGACCTCTGCACACCCCAGTCACTGCAGGGGCAGAGTGTGAAACAGAGAAGGCCTTGGTGCTGTGCAAACACTGTTTAGCAACAGAGCAAACACTTGTGCCTTACCAGCACTGTTTTGGTCACAAATCTAAAGAACAGCACCCTACCGGTTGCTATGAAAAAAATTAACTCCATCCCAGCCAACTGACTCTCTGCAGTGGGTTTCCCTCTGAGATCAATACCGCTGAGACATTTCTGTCATTTATTACCCATGAATTGTAACAAACAATAAATTAAACCAAATATTTTCTGAATATATAGCGTTTGGTATCCTTATCTTGCACAAACAATACTACTAGCACAGCATGTGCCAGTGACTAATACATATGCACACACGTGAAGAAATAAGGAGAGAACTGCCTTCTTCCTTCCTACTTTTTTGTAGCCTAAGCTCATACGGAAAAAAAAAATTATTTCAAGCAAAACCCACATAATCTCCACTTTACCAGTGAAGTTGTGTTAATTCCCAGTTTTTCTTACGTGATTTAAGGAGTTTATGTCATGATTGGCATCCAAGAGGATTTTTACTACCGGTAGATGATTATTGATGACTGCTAAATGAAGAGAAGAATTCTTCTGCTGTGGAGGGATAATAAGAAACTATTATACTTGTGTACATTCACTAGAATTTCATTCAAACAAGAAAGAGGTTCTTGTTAAAGTCTGCCCCTTGCAAAGACGATATGCTCCAGTGGAGGTTTGAGACTGCAGAAAACACACCTCGAGGTGCAGTTATGCCAGAGCTGGCAGCCTGTTCCTGCTGCTGCAACACCTTCAGCAGCAGCTAGACAATACAGCTGAGAAACCTGGAAATGTTGAGTGCACTGGGTGCATATCAGCGTGCCACCACTTAGAAACGCAGCAAGGTGCTACTCTTATGTCTTCATACCTGGGATGCTGCTGCCCTTGGAGGACAATAGAGCTTAGGTAATGTTTCTGTTCCCTGAGAAAATTGGGTTTGCCCTTAGTTGGACAGGCTGGAGGCATAATATAGCTGTCAAAATCTACTTTCCAGGAATAAACTCTTGTCACATATTGCTGCTGTAAATATTCTTCATACTAAACTGACTTGCTGACATATTTATAAAAAGCAAACTATAGCTAGAAAGAAACTAAGGGGTTTTATTTGAGTGATTATTCATTAAAATAACTGGGGCACAGATCCAACATCAGTCATGATCCAACCGTTAGATTGGTAAGATCACTTTGCATGTTGAACCTGTGACTCATAAGTTTCTTTTTAAATACAGCTAAAAAACAATTCCATGTCAGTGCCCTTCACGGGTGCCAGACACCAATTTGTTGGTGTCTTTATAAACCACAACCATTTCTTCAGGGCTACAGAAAAATAAAGCAAACTCTTATGCAATGCTGCACGGGAAATGTTTCCAAACATAAGTTACAATTTTATGAGCTGTTTCTGCTACAGAAGGAGAACAAGCAGCACAACAACTGCCTGATCTTTACAATAAATCATTTCAAGCACATCATAAATTGATCATCCTTGATAACATTATGCAACAGGCCAGTGATCATGGAAGATAAGTCATGAAGCCCAGATTTTATTTTCATCCTGTACTATAGAAGTGGAAAATAATTTCCTAGTCACAGAAAACCTCAGATGTTAACAAAAACTGTAATATCTAAACTGAGACAATATTTTAATATTAGGAATACAACTTTCTTTTTAAATCCCAAAGAATGGTGGCATGCAGATTTTGAAGGCATAGGCTTTAACTGCAGAGTGAAAGCACTGAAGTGTTTATTTACCTTTTATTTACCTTTATTCAAAATCAGTAACAAAGTGTTAATTCTTTGCACACAGGGAGGCCTGCATTACTCCTGCTTAGTTGAACCACGGTACTTTGCTCATCTTCTCCTAACACCTGGAACCAGCCACGTCTACACTGCACTGCACCAGTCTGCCCAGGTACTCACTGGGTTTGTGCAACAGGACCTTGTCTGTGTTGGTCCATACATATTGCTGACCAATATCCATAAACCACATTATTATGTGTATAGTAAAAAAATAAAGGAACTAGTCAATCTCATTCAGCTGTCTGAATTCCCAGGAAAGGCTATAAAAGACAGGACATACTGAATAACAGCAGAAAAATTATATTATATACACTCACCTCAGGTTTAGGAACCAGGTCAATATTCTTATCAATAAGAAAAGTAACCAAGGATAGATGTCCATTCTGAATTGCAATCTGCAAAGCACTGCTATTGTTCTGAAAGAAATGGTACAGAGAGTAAAAACTTATATTTTTGTTGCTGAAAAAACAGTATTAAAGAGAGCTACAGGATAATATTTCATTTAAATTTGTGTTATTATCCCCTGCCCCCAGCAAACTCCCTTTGATAAAATGACATAAAATGAAGTGGATCAGCAGTTAGCATGATGTATTTTTGTAAATACTGAAGGAACATCCCATTTTTACAGTATCACAACAAACATGCTAAACCCACCAGTATTCTACAGTGCTTTTCAATCTGTCTTAAGAAAGATAAATCAGCACCGTCAGCTATCTGCACCATGGGCAACAACAATGCCAACGTCTCTCCTAGTTTGTTAGTTCAGTTTGACCCTTAACAAGCAAGTACAGTCACAGTAACAAACTTCTAAAAACAAAGCAACAGAAATTTTTCACTTAATAATTCTGCTAAAACAAACAAGCTGTCAGTCTGCTGGAATCATAAACTTCTCGCAGCAGACAAGCCAAGGCCATTCAACAGATGTGAGCTGGACTGGAGTCCAGGAACCAGATGTGGAGAACAAGGTTGTCACCACTTCAGTCATACATGCTGCCAAAAAGGAGGATTTTCAGTTACCCTAGCTGGTTACATTTCCTAGCCGTATGTTTTACTATTGGACATGCAGTAAATAAAAAAGCTCCTCCACAGAACTCTGTCAAATAAATCTATACTATATTTCTTCCACATCAGTTTTACTCTGTTAGCACTCTCCACATTCCCAATTCTATTTTATTAATTAATTAATTAACTAATTAACTATTTCATAAAAATAAGTGGAGCAAATATACTGTTAGTACACACAGAAAAGAAAAGGTAAGGTCCTTCACACAGCCCAGGATGTTCCAGTACCTGTGTGCTGCAGGGATACTGTGTACATACTTGAGTTAAAATGTTGATGTCACTCCCTGCTTCCAGTAAGAGTTCAGCACATTTGTCATGGCCTCCTTCAACAGACAAGTAAAATGGAGTTTCTCCATTCTAGACCAACAGCGAGAAACAACAGAGAGAAAATGTCTGTTCCAACTTAAGCCACATGACTATAAGACTGTGACACAAAACAGGTTAGCTCAATCAGACTCATCCAGCTCAATAGAAAAGGGGAGATGGTCACAAGAGAACACGACCTGAATGCTCCTAAATTAACACTTCAATGAAATGCGAACTCACCAACACTTAAGTGATGGATGACATTTATGTCAACAGATGTACAGTAAGGTTTACGGTACAGATAACTATGTCATAAATATTAATCATGCTCTTTTCAAAGAAGATTACTAGCAACAGGCACAGAAAAAAGATGGTGGGTAGCAATTGCTGCCATTCAACATCAGGCAACACTCCTAGCATGCTAGCACATGCCATAAGTGCCAATTTCTGTCAGTCCAATGCCATGGATTTCTGACAAATTCCCAACTCTAGTGCTAGTTATAAGGAGAACTTTCATCAGGAGTAATTGTGCTGCACATTTATTTCAAATCTTCTCACCCCAAAAAAGTCTCCATGTATCCACAGTAAGTCTCTACATAAGTTACATTGGCTGCACAACAATCTAATCCCTGCTTCTCAACTGCTAAAATACACAAAGGTTTACTGAAAGTTACTCTAGTGCTTCAGCATTCACAGAAGCATCAATAAATCCTGATTTTCCCTTGCTTGAACTCCTGACACCATTGTTCTGGTAAACTTAATATATTACAGTGCTTTGCTCATGCTGGGGGAAGAGAAATCTGTGTACCCACAGACCAGAACTTCTCTGGCTGGACAGGAAAGTTGCACCATTAGCCACGGCAAGGCAGGAGGACAAGCAGCACGAACTGTGCATAAGCAACAACATTGTTAGACAAGTCTGGGAAACACGAGGGCTTCACATTTCAAAGGGGCTTGTGTGCCTCAAATCTTACATAGCTTGAAATAACAGACAAGTTGGATAAGAGAGATCCCCTTGACCCATAAAACCATTTCTGATTGAGGAAGGCAAGGACCTTGGATAGCAGTGAGTGTCCCTTACTCATGTTGTCTGCTGGGCCAGCAGAACAGCCTGTCAACCACACAGCAGGCTTCTGCTGGCCCATGACAAAGTGAATTAACTTGCCCTGTTCATTCCAGCTGCCCCACAGAAGAAGCAGAAGAC